TTTCAATTTCTTTTCATTCATGTAAGTTTTGTTGAGGTCATTGAACGTTTTGTTTCCGATGTTAGTCAATATCAGGTTGTGTGCGGAAAGTTCAGATTACTCATAGTGTCAAATTTACATGCCATTGGAAGTAATGGAAGGGGCGTAAGTACATGAACTTAATTACGAACACGTATTTACTTAAAGAGAATGTTGTTCTGCTAGTTTGGCGATGGTGACAGTTTCAATCAATCAGTCAAAAGTTGTCTCATTAAGAGGATGTCCTTGTTTAATCAGCAAAACATTCGATATCATAACACCCGACATTGCGTTTCAAAACCTTTCTCATATATCTTTCCCCCGATTTTAACGAATAATGAAGGTCTGAACCAACTTTGGATATTCTCGAATTTCTTTTAGGTTGAAATCATGCATTGTATACCCGTATTGTTCAGTTTTCGTATGTTGATAATTTTAAGTTGAATGCATACCATATCATTTCGCATCCAAAATCTTGATATGTACAATATGCACAAATCATACACTTAACAAGGACGAATGTGTATTATACGACGGCATCGCAAGAATCCTACAGGAGACCAGACAAGTCGTCTCCAATGCTGTCTTACATAAGCCAAAATCTATACATCGGCCAATATTCATCTCACTTCAAAATAAATTATAAATGTATTTTTTTTTAAGTTTTCACAAACAAGTTATTACTTTGTGTATAGATGAATCCTTTTGGCCCGGATCGGACCGCGCGAGGAGTCTAACAGTTGGATTTACTGGGGAGAATCACGTTGATTGTCAGGTAGCATAATACCTGTTTATACATCCGTTCGAGGAATCGAGCCATGGACGTCTAAGTGAAAGGTGACAGCGCTACCACTGCGCCACCAGACCATCCACGTGACTTACATGGTCGGTATAGTGATGTTCCACATTAATAACTTGCTTGACTAAGAAGATGATATAAGATGTTCGGACATCCCTGAATTTAATCATCCTTTCAGAGTTATAACGATCTTGTTATTTATTACAGATAAGTAAAAAATTTGAATAGTTTTTATTGGTTTTAGGAATGATTAATGGATTTTTTTTTTCGATTTTTTCCTTATTTCCTTATTTCCTTCTGTAATCTGAAATTTGAACAGTTTTAATTTAGACGCCGGAACGTAAAAATATCTGAAAGCAATATGTGGTAAACCGTCTCACTGTACTTATGTTTAGGGCGTGTTTCATAATATGACGATCACTGTGAAACATTGTGGTTATCTTTTATTTATAATTATTGTTTTTCATGTAATTATTATTTTTCTATTATCATAATTTTATGACTTGAACATAACAATAAACCATCCTCCTCCTCCTCCTCCTCCTCCTCCTCCTCATCATCATCATCATCATCATCATCATCATCATCATCATCATCATCATCATCGTCATCATCATCATCTTGTTATTTTCGATATTTCTTAACAAGAACACAAGAAAACAAATTGCTGAATGCGGCCATCTTGGATTTTAGTAGGTAAAAAAACGTTATCGCTATTTCCTGAGAAATAACAGAAAGATCTGTCTTAATTTCAGATGAAGATTTGTATAGGTCTGCTGTTATGCTCTTTTGATTTCGGTACAAGTCTCAAAAATGAAATGGCTGACATCTGGCCATCTTGGATATGAAAATTTGAAAATATTATAAATGTAAATTACCAGACAGCATCGGATGACCTTTATGCAGGTCACGGCTGTCTGGCTTCATCTTTCATTTTAAATATTCGAAACATTTGGTAAAATTCCTAAGGTAAAACTCGCACGTCCGGGCAGTTGACCCAATACCTATTTCATATCGGTTACGGCAAATGTCCTGGGAACGTCTAGATGAAAGGTGAGTGCGCTACCAGTGTGCTACCAGTGCGTTACCAGGCTGATATGTCACATGGCCACTTTAGTGATATTCCCATCTTTACATTTGCTTAACGTATGAAAAGATGTTTTGCGATCTTCCGACATCGATAAATTTAATCTCCTTTCATGTTTGCAATGTGTTTGCAATGTGCTCATTTTAGGGATTGGTTAAAATATTGCTATTGTTTTTATTATTATTTTTTTTTTTTGGAAAGATTGATGGGTTTGTTTTCCCTGTTTCCATATTTCTTTCTCTATTTAGAAATTTGAACAATTTTGATTTAGACTTCGGAATTATTAAGACTCCGAAACCACTTTGTGGTAAATCATCTCACTGTAATTAATATGTTTCAGAATATGACAATTAATGGCACTGTTATCCTCTATAATGCTACACATATAGACGACCTTGTACGATCCGCGCGGAGCTAAATTGCTAAACATGTTGATCAAAAATTGAAAAATACATAGATATTGGATGGTTCTTCGGCTAATATCTATCACGTCTAGAATAAAGTGATTTAAAAATTATGATATAATTTACAATTGAATAAATGTTGCGATAGCAGAATGGAAAAAATAATATAAAGCAAAAAAAAAAAAAAAAGTAAAAATAGATAAAAGATAAAGAAAATACGAAAAAAGAAAGAAAACAGTGTTAAGCATTCTTTTATGAAATCAAGGAAATGCCATGTTTCAAAATTGGATTCGAAAGAATAAAGGTCTCCAATAAAACGAAACCTCTCTTTTTGATGGACTGATTATCTTGTAATCATTGTAGCTGTGTTTTATAATGGCTGGGTAGCCGCTGTCGATACACGAGTTGAATAAAGGTCTTGTATTGAAGGAGTGAGGACAACTATGAGCCGAATTAGGTTGGCTTTGGGCGAAGGGAGTTAATGGATGGAGAATAGGGCTTATATGGATGGAGGGCAGCTGTGCCTGGAGGGAGGTAACTTTTGATGGGGAGAGGAAAATTGTGTGTGGTAGGAAGTAGGCTATAAGTCTTGGAGGTCGCCGGTTGGAGCTATGGATGGCGGGAGGACAGCTGTGGATTGTTTGATGTGGATGATGGAAAGAGAGAGGACAGGTATGGAAGGAGGAAAGACAGCTATGGATGGTGGGAGGATAGCTGTTGATAGAGGGACGACAGCTGTTGATGATGGGAGGACAGCTATGGATGGAGGGAGGACGGCTGTTGATGGTGGTAAGACATCCGTGGACGATAGGAGGTGAGGTATGGATGGTGATAGGACAGCTATCGTTGGTGGGAGGACAGCAATGGTTGGTTGGAGGACAGCCATTGCTTGGTGGGAGGACAGCTATGGTTGGTTGGAGGACAGCTATGGTTGGTTGGAGGACAGCCATTGGTTGGTTGGAGGACATCTATGGATGGTGATAGGACAGCCGTTGCTTGGTGGGAAGACAGCCATTGGTTGGTGGGAGGACATATATGGTTGGTGGGAGGACAGCTATGGTTGGTGGGAGGACAGCCATTGGTTGGTGGGAGGACAGCCATTGGTTGGTGGGAGGACAGCTATGGTTGGTGGGAGGACAGCCATGGTTGGTTGGAGGACAGCTATGGTTGGTGGGAGGACAGCCATTGGTTGGTGGGAGGACAGCTATGGTTGGTTGGAGGACAGCTATGGTTGGTAGGAGGACAGCTATGGTTGGTTGGAGGACAGCTATTGTTGGTGGGAGGACAGCCATTGGTTGGTGGGAGGACAGCCATTGGTTGCTGGGAGGACAGCTCTGGTTGGTTGGAGGACATCTATGGTTGGTAGGAGGACAGCCATTGGTTGGCGGGAGGACAGCCATGGTTGGTAGGAGGACAGCTATTGGTTGGTGGGAGGACAGCCATGGTTGGTTGGAGGACAGCTATGGTTGGTAGGAGGATAGCCATTGGTTGGTGGGAGGACAGCCATTGGTTGGTGGGAGGACAGCTATGGTTGGTAGGAGGATAGCCATTGGTTGGTGGGAGGACAGTCATTGGTTGTTGGGAGGACAGCCATTGGTTGGTTGGAGGACAGCTATGGTTGGTGGGAGGACAGCTTTGGTTGGGTGGAGGACAGCCATGGTTGGTGGGAGGACAGCTATGGTTGGTAGGAGAACAGCTATGGTTGGTTGGAGGACAGCCATAGTTGGTGGGAGGACAGCTATGGTTGGGTGGAGGACAGCCATGGTTGGTGGGAGGACAGCTATTGTTGGTGGGAGGACAGCCATTGGTTGGTGGGAGGACAGCCATTGGTTGCTGGGAGGACAGCTCTGGTTGGTTGGAGGACATCTATGGTTGGTAGGAGGACAGCCATTGGTTGGCGGGAGGACAGCCATGGTTGGTAGGAGGACAGCTATTGGTTGGTGGGAGGACAGCCATGGTTGGTTGGAGGACAGCTATGGTTGGTAGGAGGATAGCCATTGGTTGGTGGGAGGACAGCCATGGTTGGTAGGAGGACAGCTATTGGTTGGTGGGAGGACAGCCATGGTTGGTTGGAGGACAGCTATGGTTGGTAGGAGGATAGCCATTGGTTGGTGGGGAGGGTTGGTGGGAGGACAGCTATGGTTGGTAGGAGGATAGCCATTGGTTGGTGGGAGGACAGTCATTGGTTGTTGGGAGGACAGCCATTGGTTGGTTGGAGGACAGCTATGGTTGGTGGGAGGACAGCTTTGGTTGGGTGGAGGACAGCCATGGTTGGTGGGAGGACAGCTATGGTTGGTAGGAGAACAGCTATGGTTGGTTGGAGGACAGCCATAGTTGGTGGGAGGACAGCTATGGTTGGGTGGAGGACAGCCATGGTTGGTGGGAGGACAGCTATTGTTGGTGGGAGGACAGCCATTGGTTGGTGGGAGGACAGCCATTGGTTGGTGGGAGGACAGCTCTGGTTGGTTGGAGGACATCTATGGTTGGTAGGAGGACAGCCATTGGTTGGCGGGAGGACAGCCATGGTTGGTAGGAGGACAGCTATTGGTTGGTGGGAGGACAGCCATGGTTGGTTGGAGGACAGTTATGGTTGGTAGGAGGATAGCCATTGGTTGGTGGGAGGACAGCCATTAGTTGGTGGGAGGACATCTATGGTTGGTAGGAGGATAGCCATTGGTTGGTGGGAGGACAGTCATTGGTTGTTGGGAGGACAGTCATTGGTTGGTTGGAGGACAGCTATGGTTGGTGGGAGGACAGCTTTGGTTGGGTGGAGGACAGCCATGGTTGGTGGGAGGACAGCTATGGTTGGTAGAAGAACAGCTATGGTTGGTTGGAGGACAGCCATAGTTGGTGGGAGGACAGTTATGGTTGGGTGGAGGACAGCCATGGTTGGTGGGAGGACAGCTATTGTTGGTGGGAGGAAAGCCATTGGTTGGTGGGAGGACAGCCATTGGTTGGTGGGAGGACAGCTATGGTTGGTTGGAGGACATCTATGGTTGGTAGGAGGACAGCCATTGGTTGGTGGGAGGACAGCCATGGTTGGTAGGAGGACAGCCATTGGTTGGTGAAAGGACAGCCATGGTTGGTAGGAGGATAGCCATTGGTTAATGGGAGGACAGTCATTGGTTGTTGGGAGGACAGCCATTGGTTGGTTGGATGACAGCTATGGTTGGTGGGAGGACAGCTTTGGTTGGGTGGAGGACAGCCATGGTTGGTGGGAGGACAGCTATGGTTGGTAGGAGAACAGCTATGGTTGGTTGGAGGACAGCCATAGTTGGTGGGAGGACAGCTATGGTTGGGTGGAGGACAGCCATGGTTGGTGGGAGGAAAGCTATGATTGGTAGGAGGACAGATATGGTTGGTGGAAGGACAGCCATTGGTTGGTGGGTGGACAGCTATGGTTGGTTGGAGGATAGCTATGGTTGGTGGGAGGACAGCTATGGTTGGTTGGAGGACAGCTAGTGTTAGTGGGAGGACAGCCATTGGTTGGTGGGAGGACAGCTATGGTTGGTTGGAGGACATCTATGGTTGGTAGGAGGACAGCCATTGGTTGGTGGGAGGACAGCTATGGTTGGTTGGAGGACAGCTATGGTTGGTAGGAGGACAGCTATGGTTGGTTGGAGGACAGCCATGGTTGGTGGGAGGACAGCCATTGGTTGGTGGGAGGACAGCCATTGGTTGCTGGGAGGACAGCTCTGGTTGGTTGGAGGACATCTATGGTTGGTAGGAGGACAGCCATTGGTTGGTGGGAGGACAGCCATGCTTGGTTGGAGGACAGCTATGGTTGGTGAGAGGACAGCCATTGGTCGGTGGGAGGACAGCTATGGTTAGTTGGAGGACAGCTATGGTTGGTAGGAGGACAGCCATTGGTTGGTGGGAGGACAGCTATGGTTGGTAGGAGGACAGCCATTGGTTGGTGGGAGGACAGCCATGGTTGGTTGGAGGACAGCTATGGCTGGTAGGAGGACAGCCATTGGTTGGTGGGAGGACAGCCATGGTTGGTAGGAGGACAGCCATTGGTTGGTGAAAGGATAGCCATGGTTGGTTGGAGGACAGCTATGGTTGGTAGGAGGATAGCCATTGGTTGGTGGGAGGACAGCCATTGGTTGGTGGGAGGACAGCCATGGTTGGTGGGAGGACAGCTATGGTTGGTAGGAGAACAGCTATGGTTGGTTAGAGGACAGCCATAGTTGGTGGGAGGACAGCTATGGTTGGGTGGAGGACAGCCATGGTTGGTGGGAGGACAGCTATGGTTGGTAGGAGAACAGGTATGGTTGGTGGAAGGACAGCCATGGTTGGTGGGAGGACAGCCATGGTTGGTAGGAGGACAGCCATTGGTTGGTGGAAGGACAGCCATGGTTGGTGGGAGGACAGCCATGGTTGGTAGGAGGACAGCCATTGGTTGGTTGGAGGACAGCCATTGGTTGGTGGGAGGACAGCTATGGTTGGTAGGAGGACAGCCATTGGTTGGTTGGAGGACAGCCATTGGTTGGTTGGAGGACAGCTATGGTTGGTGGGAGGACAGCCATGGTTGGTTGGAGGACAGATATGGTTGGTTGGAGGACAGCCATTGGTTGGTGGGAGGACAGCTATGGTTGGTTGAAGGATAGCTATGGTTGGTGGGAGGACAACTATGGTTGGTTGGAGGACAGCTATTGTTAGTGGGAGGACAGCCATTGGTTGGTGGGAGGACAGCTATGGTTGGTTGGAGGACATCTATGGTTGGTAGGAGGACAGCCATTGGTTGGTGGGAGGACAGCTATGGTTGGTAGGAGGACAGCCATTGGTTGGTGGGAGGACAGCCATGGTTGGTTGGAGGACAGCTATGGTTGGTGAGAGGACAGCCATGGTTGGTTGGAGGACAGATATGGTTGGTGGGAGGACAGCCATTGGTTGGTGGGAGGACAGCTATGGTTGGTTGGAGGATAGCTATGGTTGGTGGGAGGACAGCTATGGTTGGTTGGAGGACAGCTATTGTTAGTGGGAGGACAGCCATTGGTTGGTGGGAGGACAGCCATTGGTTGGTGGGAGGACAGCTATGGTTGGTTGGAGGACATCTATGGTTGGTAGGAGGACAGCCATTGGTTGGTGGGAGGACAGCCATTGGTTGGTGGGAGGACAGCCATGGTTGGTTGGAAGACAGCCATGGTTGGTAGGAGGATAGCCATTGGTTGGTGGGAGGACAGCCATTGGTTGATGAGAGGACAGCCATTGGTTGGGTGGAGGATAGCCATGGTTGGTGGGAGGACAGCTATGGTTGGTAGGAGAGTAGCTATGGTTGGTGGGAGGACAGCCATGGTTGGTGGGAGGACAGCCATGATTGGTAGGATGATAGGCATTGGTTGGTGGGAGGACAGCCATGGTTGGTTGGAGGACAGCTATGGTTGGTAGGAGGATAGCCATTGGTTGGTGGGAGGACAGCCATTGGTTGGTGGGAGGACAGCTATGGTTGGTTGGAGGACATCTATGGTTGGTAGGAGGACAGCCATTGGTTGGTGGGAGGACAGCCATTGGTTGGTTGGAGGACAGCTATGGTTGGTTGGAGGACAGCTATGGTTGGGTGGAGGACAGCCATTGGTTGGTGGGAGGACAGCTATGGTTGGTAGGAGGACAGCCATTGGTTGGTGGGAGGACAGCCATGGTTGGTTGGAGGACAGCCATGGTTGGTAGGAGGATAGCCATTGGTTGGTGGGAGGACAGCCATTGGTTGATGAGAGGACAGCCATTGGTTGGGTGGAGGATAGCCATGGTTGGTGGGAGGACAGCTATGGTTGGTAGGAGAACAGCTATGGTTGGTGGGAGGACAGCCATGGTTGGTGGGAGGACAGCCATGGTTGGTAGGATGATAGCCATTGGTTGGTGGGAGGACAGCCATGGTTGGTTGGAGGACAGCTATGGTTGGTAGGAGGATAGCCATTGGTTGGTGGGAGGACAGCCATTGGTTGGTGGGAGGACAGCTATGGTTGGTTGGAGGACATCTATGGTTGGTAGGAGGACAGCCATTGGTTGGTGGGAGGACAGCCATTGGTTGGTTGGAGGACAGCTATGGTTGGTTGGAGGACAGCTATGGTTGGGTGGAGGACAGCCATAGTTGGTGGGAGGACAGCTATGGTTGGTAGGAGAACAGCTAAGGTTGGTGGGAGGACAGCCATGGTTGGTTGGAGGACAGCTATGGTTGGTAGGAGGACAGCCATTGGTTGGTGGGAGGACAGCTATGGTTGGTAGGAGGACAGCCATTGGTTGGTGGGAGGACAGCTATGGTTGGTTGGAGGACATCTATGGTTGGTGGGAGGACAGCTATGGTTGGTAGGAGGACAGCCATTGGTTGGTGGGAGGACAGCCATGGTTGGTTGGAGGACAGCTATGGTTGGTGGGAGGACAGCCATGGCTGGTGGGAGGACAGCTATGGTTGGTAGGAGGATAGCCATTGGTTGGTGGGAGGACAGCCATGGTTGGTAGGAGGACAGCCATTGGTTGATGGGAGGACAGCCATTGTTGGTTGGAGGACAGCCATTGGTTGGTGGGAGGACAGCTATGGTTGGTTGGAGGACATCTATGGTTGGTGGGAGGACAGCCATGGTTGGTTGGAGGACAGCTATGGTTGGTAGGAGGACAGCCATTGGTTGGTGGGAGGACAGCCATGGTTGGTTGGAGGACAGCTATGGTTGGTAGGAGGATAGCCATTGGTTGGTTGGAGGACAGCCATGGTTGGTAGGAGAACAGCTATGGTTGGTGGGAGGACAGCTATGGTTGGTGGGAGAACAGCCATGGTTGGTAGGAGGACAGCCATTGGTTGGTTAGAGGACAGCTATGGTTGGTAGGAGGACAGGCATGGTTGGTGGGAGGACAGCCATGGGTTGAGGAAGTATATCAAAAAGAGGTTCAATGCTTTCAAGGGACGGGCAAGTTACGGTCATCAAATCAATCAGGTATCGAGAACGTTATCTTCGAACGGGATGTTTTGGTGAGGACAATGCGTTATGTTCTGAAGCGATGCTATATTCCCTTGATGTGATACAGAAAAGTCGGTTAGATAAAAAAAACAATATAATTTGCTTCACAGAATCAGCGGGTCGGTATAATGTATATCACAGGTCTGATTTAGCATGTACAGAAAGATATGTTGCTGAATAATCAGTCCCCTTGTAGAAGAATTATTTGTCCTCTTTGGTAATAAGTACAGACGTAGTAAAACATTGTGACAATCGCTTAGTTGAGAAGGGAAAGGGGGTGCTCATGTTATTCTGCGATTAGGAGACCATATACATGTGTTTATCAACCTCTTTGCATGAAGATATTTTGAAAGGTTAGAAATATGGCGGTCAAAAAGTGTATTTGGAATGAATGTGAAGGTATAAAAACCGTATTTTCATGCTAAAGAAGTGTTAATTTGGCGTAATTCTAAAAACAAAAGTGGAAAAAATCGTTTAAGAATTAGAAAAAAAATTAATAACTTAATTTCTAATTACATCACAAGACAGGCGCGTCGCTAAGTTATTGTCTGTCACGAATATGCTTGTGAGGTTTCATCAAAATTCTGCCAGCAGCTTCTGAGAAAAAAACCGCCCGGAAACGCTTTGTGGGAAAAATTACTGGAATTGAGTAGTTGTTTGGAGGACTTACAAGTAAAAGGAATCATTTTGACTTGGCAAGTTGCCCTGAAGGGTCATATAGTGCCTTTGCAATCTTATTCAACTTCTTCTGTGAAATGGAAAATGCAAAGTGCATCTTTCTGTTTATGAACAAAAATACGATAATGTAGAAATAATATTTTAAAATCCAGATGAAGCACACAACATGATAAAGTGGATCTTTTCATATATGGTTTCACATAATCATCTCTTGATAACATGAAGATGTATGAACTTACCACGAAGACAACAATCAAACCGCTATCTAATTTGCATGTCAAGAAAATAGTCAGTTTTCAATTTTGCAGTTCAGTGATTGTGTTATTGTTAAAATCATTTGAGGATATTATTTCGCAGGTTTCAGATTGAATCGAAGAGAAAAAAAAAACTGAGGATGATAACTGTA